GAGATCTGTTCCTAATAATGGGCACTCACCGAATATTAACCAGCTGCTGATGGAACAATGAACTTTACCTTCTTTCCTATTTTGCACTCTCGTTGCCAGTGAACAAACCAAATCATGGAAAGGATTTTGAAATGGAGACTCCACTGAAAAAGTAAATTTCCTCATTTGGAACAAAAGGTTGGCTTGCTACACCCTCAGCCCTCTCTGAGGAACACCTACATAATTTATCTCCTGTATAAATTGTCAGATTATCTCCCCTTCTCTGGTTAAATCATTTGGAAGTAGGTAATATGAATACTCATTTTTATCACACAGCACCAAGTACAGTGCTTAGCACATAGTAGGAATTCAGATACTGACCGATTCATTATTATTAGCACTAACCTCATGACAACTTCAGGATCAACATGAAATGGGAAGGAAGGTAGAAACCAGCCCCCCTGTAACCCCAGTCTTGGCTTAGCTCCCCTAACTCAACACAACAGATTCTGTCCAAGTTCAATGAATGAATATTCAATCATAACAGACGTACAATATGTGTTCAGGGAACAAGATTCAATTTATAAAACTTGGCTCTTTGTTAAAGTTTTCCTTTTGCTGATTAAATTGCTCCCCTTTTTTTCTTTTGCCCTCAAACAATGGTTACATTTGTGAATCCAAACTCTTAATGAACTAAGTTCATTAAATGTATTAATCGTGTACCATTTCTTCCTAAAAGAGGGAAAGAGGTTGACTTGTAGTGTGGTACAAGTATACTCATATTTCTAGAAATAATTAAATAGGATAATAGGGTTAGAAGAAACATTTCGACTCTTCCCATGGGCTGGGGATTCTTTCTCCACATTTCAACATTATACAAGTTCAAGACAGCCTGTAGATTATCTAGTACATGGAAGGTGCTCAACACAGTAATTACTGACATTGTTATTTATATTCTGCAAGTGATAATATGGCACCAAAAATCTTCTATGCCTTTACCCTTCTACCCTATAATGCCTCTGTGCCCATGTAAACATCCAGTGAGCTGACTGGCAGGGCCATATACATCTAGGGAGACCTGGTTCATTGCTGATTCTCATGCCCATTTCTGACTTACTTGTTTCTGACACTCATTTTTAAAAAGGCAATTAAAAAAACCTCCCCTTTGTTTCCAAATTCCAATTTGTTCCAAAAATTTCTGGAGAAGTAGCCAAATCTAGATCATTGTATACATGCATATAAAACCTAATGAAATATGTAGGATTTAATCCATGTTAGGTTTTTCAAGCAGGAGTTATCAATAAGCCAGAGGAAATTTCCCAGATCGATGAAATTTGGGATTGTATGTACACCAGTGTAATTAGGAACACTATTATAGAATTGTTTACAAGGTGTTCTTAATATGACCTCTGGAACCCAAGGAACCAGGACACAGAGGATTAGTAACTTTGTTTCTTAATTACCCCTTTCCCCTCAACTTTAAAATTGTATTACTTCTAGACTATCACGGGCCATATGTGGTGGTGGTCCCAGTCGTAACTGGGTAAGGTCAGCATCGTGGAGTAATTATAGATACTCTAGAGGTTAGTGGAGCACGAAATAAATATATCCCAGTCTTTTTTTTATTCAACAGTGATTACTCAATCATCCCTTCCTTTTCCAAACTCACATAGCAGTTGTCCATTTTCTGACACAAGATTTTTTTTGCAAG